CCTTGTCCTCCAAGAGCATTATACTATTCTTTCTATGTACAAACTATAAACTGCCAGATCTATCTTAGTGCCCATGTCAGTATTAGCAATTCTCAAGGCAACAAGGATTTCACTGACCTGTCAGAACATGRCCTTCCCTATCTAAGTACAGGACTATGAGACTTACAATATAGAAARCATGTCTCAGGAAAATGAAATTCTGTATTCTAGTTGAACAAGAAACCCAATTCTACTCCACTCCACAAAATATCTTAAAGTATCTTTAAACACAGTATCTTACTTGGTCTGCTTCTGGTTGGTTGCCTATTTACAAATCCCAGATAGATGGTAGACGATAACATTCTGAAAATATCTTCCCAGGAGCTTTACATAGAGTTTTGATTTTTTGTGGTTAAAAACWTTGCAAGAGACAGAATTCCCTGTATTTACAATACCAGTCTACTTTTTACTCACAACCAGGAGTCATGCTTTCAGCAGTTATAGCAAAACTACATAATTATAAGGTTATATTCTGAAAAATGTGTCATGGGGGTGATTYTGTTGTTGTGMAAACATCATAGAGTGCACTTACACAATCCCTACATGTGGCTTCTTGATGCAATCAAGCAATACAGTAAACACAAGATGTGTGAAGCCACTACTAGTATAAATGATGTACTGCTTTACAACAAACTACTTTTATAAGTAGAAAGAGTACAATTTCAAATAATGATGAGTACCCTAAATAAACCAATACAACCATTTATTACCAAGWTTCTGTACACATGATTGTACATACCATACTTTTATATGACTGGCAGCACAGTGGTTTGTTTAYACCAGCATCACCACTAACACATGAGTCACATGCTACACTATTACTAGATGACAGGAATGTTTCAGTTCCATTATAATTTTATGGGATCACCACTTTATATGTGGTCAGTCACTGACTGGTATGCAGTGTATAACTATAACTATACAGTTATTCTATTTTATAYAGAGCAAACTTCAGAAATAACAAGTTTTCTTTTTTATGGAGTCTACTCATAAACAGATTGGGAGTATAAGAGYTGATCCTTAATCCCTTTACATAAACCCATCTTCACAAATACTCAAAAGTCAATGCAACTAACTCTTCATGCCYCCTAAGTTGTACCAAACAGGTAAGCATAAGCTTGAAAGATCAGAGAGAACATTTACTCAAGTGTTTGGCTCACAGGAAGACTTCTTAATAAGTACCACATATAAATAAAATTAATGACTAATCAAATCAATGTTTTTGATTATCTATAGATGAAGAATTTAAACATGTATCCAGTATGGTACCTTAAAATGTATTTAAAAAGTTAAAAAGTATTTGTAAATAATTGAAAATTCCAAGTAAAAATACTTTCCAAACCTTTATATCCTATCACAATGAAAATTATTATTAATATTATAATGTTATTCAATCTGTTTGTAGAATTCAAATCAGTCTTTACTSGTTCCTAAAATGTTTCTACAGTTCTTCCCTTTCTACAAACTATATCATTATCCCTGAATAATTTCTGGACAGAAGAAAATAAACATTAATTGTGATGTTTTAAAATTAAATTCAAAGTATAGCTAAAGCTGTATTTTGTTCTAAAATAATACAAAATGGAAGTACTTGGTGCATAAACCTTTATTCATGCTCCAGGGTATTCTTTTTTTAAAATTTTTTAGTTGTCAATGAACCTGTATTTATATGTGGTACTGAGAATCAAATTCAGTGCCTCACACATGCTAGGCAAGCACTCTGCCACTGAGCTACAGCCCCAGCCCCCAGGATATTCTTTTTAAAAAATATTTATTTAGTTATAGTTGGACACAATACGTTTATCTTATTTATTTATTTTTATTTTTATGTGATGCTGAAGATCGAACCCAAGACCTTGCATGTGCTAGGAGAGCAYTTTATTGCTGAGTCACAATCCCAGCATCCCCTCCACCCCAACCAGGGCATTCTTTAATACCATTTTTGTCTCTTTTCATCTTACCTGTAAAATTAAGGCTTGAATTTATTGAAATCTGCAGCATCCTACTATACTGCAGGGGCAGAAAGTCTATTGAACAGGTAAATCCATCAAGAGATAACAATCAATTCTGTGTTGAGTACTACCAAAGACAAGAGTCACTTCACAAAACTTTGGAAAATTATTATGAATTCCAGTGGTTACCCACTTTTCTGTTTTATTTATTTTACTTGTGGTTACTATAAACCATGTTAGCCAGCTGATTTTGAAACATTCTAATTTAATATTCACTCATTTTTCAAATATAAAGCATCTACTTTCCTTCTTATATCTATTCTTATGTTCATTTAATAAAATGTAATATCTTCTACATATCATCCTTTAATGTAAGYAAGACAGAATAGGACACAAAGGATTCATATAATTTTGGATCCATATCATTTTTTTATTCTTTTAATCCATATGCTTACAGTCTAGCCAGGGAGGCAGATAATATGGTGTGCTAAGTGCTAGAAAGGCTCCTGTATTTCTTCTATTCCTAATCTAATATTTAAACAGAGTACTTGTTTAAAAGTATATACAGAAAGCCTGGAATCAATAAGAAATACAACTATGGGGTAATAGGAAGTTGGCAAATGAACTGTTAATGTATAGAAAAAGAAATACAAATGACTTCTAAACATAAAAAGATGTTCAATCCCCTCCCCCCATAATAAATGAAATGACACTTTAGATAAATCATAATAATACTTTCACCTATGGCAGTTTGAAAACAACCCAAAAGTGACRATATAGTCTTTGGGGGAGCATGGAATTCTAATGAGCTCACACATTACTTCTGGATGGGTAAACTGTTACAGCTCTAAGGATTTTATATTTATACATATGTAATATACATATATATTTATATATGTGCAAAATGATGTGTGAATTTTTCATTGCAGAATTATCTATAATAGTAAGTTATTGGAAATAACAAAAATATACATCAAAAGAGGACTTGTTAAATAAATTCTCTTCCCMACATTCTTTTGTGACTCATGGTAGATCAGGAGTTTTGATAATATCCTATAAGTTTTGAAGCTCTCATTTTTTTTCAATTTATCATACTGAATAATTGCTCTTAAGCTATCTTCAAGCTGACTGATTCCTCTGTGACTTCCATTCTATTATCCCCAAAGTAATTTTTATTTCAGGTATAATATTTCAATTTTAAAATTTCTAGCTGGTTCTTACATTTTCTATTTTATACTGAGATATCCTGTTTTTAATTCATTTACAGGACTCATTAACTTCCTTAAGCATAGTCATAATAGATTCTTTGAAGAYTTTATTAATTCCAACATCTGACTTATCCTAGAGTTATTACATTTTTATAAAAATGTTTTACATTTTTCCTAGTTCTTTGCATATCAAGTTATTTTAGATTTTATCCTGGACATTGTAGATGTTATTTTGTATGTCCTTTGAGTTCTGTTTTATTCCTCAAGGAAAAAAAAATAAAGCAGGCAATCAACTTGCCTAGACTTGTGTTAGAGACTTTGTCTCACTTTTTGTGAGTGGCAATTTCAATCTGAGTTCATTTCATTTCTTTAAGACTCTGAGTTTGTGGTATGCAGGTGTGCTTTGAGGGCTACCCTGAGACTTGCATGAGATTTATATACACAAGTAGAGGATTCAGTTTGTGGWTCTCTTCCCTCCAAAAGTTCCCTCCACCTCCATCTCCAGGTAGGACTGTTTGTTGGATGCTCCTTTCCCTGGTTCTGTTCCTGCTGTACAATTTTATGACTGTGGCTCATTCTCAGGGCAAGTGCCCCTCTGCTAGATGTGCACACAAAGGGGCACTCTGCCATGTGCTAATAAATTCTCTATATATGGATTCTTTTCACAGTTATCCATATTAATTTACTCATCTGAATCCACAGGTAGTTTGTTTCACATTTTATCTAGAATTTATGGGATCATTAGAAGAGATGGTTTGTAGAAAGTTTACATCATCATAAAAACTTTTTGTTTGAATTATAWACAATTATCGCCTATGCAAAAAGTTACATTAATATATTTTAAAAGAATATCTGTCAATGGTCAATTTCTCAAACTGGGTAATATATGCACAAACATTTGTTTTACAACTAATTCATTATGTTTTATATCTTTTTGGTATACATGTCACTCTTTACATTTTAAAATAAGTGCTAAGCTTTCATAATCAAAACCTTTGTTCCTCACATAATATTTATCTTGCTTATATTATGAAAATAATACAAGAATATAATTTCAAAAAAATAAATGAAAAGGGAAATTGAACAATAAAAGTAATTACATTTTWAAAAAATCTCACACAGGCAAGGGTAACTCARTAATTTTTTCTTCTTTTTTTGTATCAGGGATTGAATCCAGGGGTTCTTAACCACTGAGCTACATCCCCAGCACTTTTTATATTTTATTTTGAGACAGGATCTTGCTAAGTTGCTTAGGGCCTTGCTAAGTTACTGAGGCTGGCTTTGAGTCTCCTGCCTCAGTCTCCCAAGCTGCTGGGATTACAGATAATTCAGTAAATTTTAAAGTGGGTTTAAGTAGACAAACAATCCTCTGCAATATTACTAGGTAGTACCATAAAAAAGAATGACTTTTATGACTTTTGCTGGCAAGTGGATGGGTCTGGAGACTATCATACTAAGTGAAAGAAACCAATCACACACACAAAAAAAAAGGTCAAATGTTTTCTCTGACATGTGGATGCTAACACAATATAAGGGGGAGGGGGAATAGAAGTTCTGTGGATTAGACAAAGGAGAATGAAGGGAAGGGAGGCGGGACAGGAATAGGAAAGACAGAAGAATGAATCAGATATAATTTTCCCATGTTCATATATGAATATACCACCAGTGCAACTCCATACCATGTACAACTTCTAGAATGAAATCMTAATTAGAATAAGTTATACTCTATGTATGCATATCAAAATACACTCTACTGTTACATATATCTAAAAATAACAAATAAAAAGACTACCAAAAAAAAAAAAAAAGGAAAAAAAAAGCGGCAGGCAGTAGAGCATACAAGTTGTGGTTCAGAGCCTGGTCTCTACATCTTTCTAACTATGTGAACTTGAATAAGATACTTCAGCTCCCTGAACTTGTTTCCTCATTGGAAAATGAAGAATAGTGCCTACGTCACAGGATATCAGGTGGATTAATTAGGCAAGGAAAGTAAAGTGTGAAGCTTGGTGCAGACACCTATAAAATATTCAGTAAAAGTTATTTCTAGTGGTAATAAAAACATTTTTTCCTGAATCACAAGATTTACTCTATGACCTACTTACTCAATTACCAATCTTTATTTGATGCAACTCCACAAAAATAAATTGAGATGTTCCTTCACTTACAGGAATGAACCACCTAGTCTAAAATTCAGCATACTAAAAGGGCAAATTTTAGTTGAATGCGCCCTCTAGTGGTGCATGTTATGTGCAAGTACCAGGCACCTACATAAGATAAAACCTAAGGTGAAAGTCTCCAAGGTTGGTAATTAGAATCTGAAGCCAGCTGGTTAAGATCATTGTTATGAGAAACACTATCATATATCTCGTTTAGCTCATTATTTTCAAGAGCTAGAGGACTGTTTTGTCTTTTAAGACTTTCTAGAATATTCACGAAATTTTCTATGCTAAATCCTATTATTCCTGWGGTACTGACTTTAATCTTTCCTCTTAACTGGGACACTTTCTAGTTTTCTCTAATGTTGCAAAGTAACTATTCAGTTAAAAAATACATTCGGTTAAAAAATACAGTAAGAAACCAAGCACCAACTATGTACCAGGTAATGGGGATACAGTAAACAACTTATTACACAATTCATTATGCAATTTCAAAATTTGAAAAGTGCCATCAGGAAGTTTAGACTRCCATGAGTACACAACAGGGAATCGGTTTAGTATAGGAAGAGACTGCAAGGTGAGGCAAGTGAAGTAGGCAGCTAAGGAGTTTGAACTTCATTCTAAGAACAATGAAAAAGGATGGAAGGGTTTAAAGTACATTGCATGTATCTGATTTGGCAATCTGATTTACACTTTCAAAGTTTCACTTCAAAAAGGCAGAGAAAGTGAATTTGACGGAGAACCAATGCCCAGACCAGAAGCACTGCTGGTGGTGAGACAAGAAGAAAGCTGGAACACGGGAGGTAACAGTATTGATAAAAAGAAACAAAGTGGTCTGGGGTTGTGGCTCATTGGTAGAGCGCTTGTCTAGCCCTGGGTTAGATCTTCTGTACCACATTTAAATTTTWAAAAAAAGTGGCGGAGAGAGAGGAAGTGGACCAATATTTAAGAAGTAAAATAAATGCAGAATGATGTGGGGATGGAGTAGTGGTCCGAGTGAACCGTGTGGCTGTGATGCCATATTTATCACTAGTACAACTGGTGGTGGTATCCAGGAGGGAATAATGAGTTGTTGAGGAAAGTAGGTTTTACCTCTTAAACTTCCCTGGCCACAAGGTGTAATATTTCAATTGAATGCTCACCTAGCATTGAACAGGACCATACGGTACCTCCCCCATCAAATAGAGCCCTCAAATGCCTGTTGTTGTTGTTTTTAACTTTTATCACAGTGACTTACTCCCACTGAGTCAATACCTTTACCTTGCCTCTGTCTGAAATGTTTATAACTCCCGCCCACTCCCAATTTTGCCAGACGTTTGTTATTTTTCGAAGTCCAGTTCAAGACACCTTCTCAAGGAACTTTTGGGCATCTCCTTCCCCACTCCAGTGTTTTCCCACTAAGSTGTAAATTCACAGATATGAAGATTGTGCACTCTTCATATCTGGGTCATCGGAGTCCAGAGCAGCACCCTTCAAACACCAGGAAATCCACAATCTTATTCTCATTTACGCGTTCAGAATCTGAAAAGCCCACAACGCCGCCTCTCCCTACAGACGGGAGATGGCTCGCCGGAAGTGACGCTCTATCAAGACATACGTGATTCCGGTCTCTATATCCCAGCTGCCATAGGGGGGCCGGGTTTCTCTGGCTTGCTAACTCGGCTGCTCTGGAGGATTCACGCGAGGTAAGAAAGTGCGCGTGGCATACTGGGAATGAGATCCCCGAGTCCCTGGATGTCGTAGGGAACCTCCTGTTGATTTCCCCGGACTTGGCCAGACCTATATGGAAACACGGGAGGGCGGAGGAACTGGCTGCTGGATCCCTGAGAGCCCCCTGCTTCCAGTGGGGSGGAACCGCAGAGATGTGTGGCCTGCCGGGGCGCCTCAGCTGTTGGGGCGCTGGCCGCCGTGGACCCCTCCAGGCCGGGCTCTCCCACTTCACCCCCTGATACCCAGAGCGCCTCCTTCMCATGTACTCAGGGGAACAGCTCCAGCCGCTCTTGCCAGGCGCAGAATCTTCGGCAGGAGCGCGTGTAAAGTGGTGTGTAGCGTCGCCCACCAGTTCTCCGGGTCGGCCCCTCGGCTCCTGTTGGTGGCCTGTTTGAGACTAGGGAGCCGAGGCCCTCACGCTGATTGGCACACAGAATGCTGCCCTAAAAGGGCTTACCTAGTAGTAGATCTGATCATTCATTGGTGGTGGTTGATGTTCTCATTCACCGCAGAGAAAAAACTTTTYCAAATTGTTACTTAGTATGTAAAGTAACCGAAACATTGTTCCGTTTTATGTTGGAACCAAATAATTCGTTGTAGAAGAAATTACTCCTTTAAAATGTGTATGCATCAAAATGAAATCTCTGTTTCTGAATATTAGAGTATATTTTGGGGCACAATACCAAGATATACTTTTTAGTATTAAATATATTGTATGTTTTAAATCATAATTGAAAGGAACTAATTGAAGATTATTTAAAACTTCTGGGCTGCAAGCTGCAGATACTCAAATTAGTAAAAGTGGAAGACTCGATATCACCATGTGACTATAAACACTTTTGTATACCAGTTTTATTTATAACTATGCCAAGAAGGGTTATAAAGATAATCACATTAAAGGACAAGATTTCTGGATTCTTCTTAATCTGCTAGCCCAACTGTTGTGTTGGAAGACTAAGCAAGAAGATTATGAGAAAGTAGCACTGGGAGTTAGAAAAATAAACAGCCAGGATTGGGGAGGAATAACTTTGTTCATTCACTGTATTACTGTGTGGTTTATAATTTATGAAATAATTTCTTAGCAAATTATTTTCCAGTTTTAAGCAAGTATATATGCTTTTTATTTCAACCAGTGTGGTGGCTTCCCTGGCAAGTACCAGATTTATATTAGTAACATATCTACACAACGTATAAAATTAAATATATGTAAATATCTAAATGCAATTAAAAGTATTTTAATAATTAAAAGTATTTTAATAATTAAAAGTTTAACATATGAGCATATTTGATACCGATATACCATCTCTTATTAGTTGTTTTTTTTTTTTTTAATTGATGACTAACCAGACATGCTTATCTTAAGGACTGATAAGGTACCTCTGATGCAACATGACCAGGTGGGCACGAGTTACTACCACACATAATAAGAGACCCTTGCCTGCAACATCATGGGAGGACATGAAGAAGGGGTCCTTGGAGGGAACAAGCCAAAATCTACCAAATHGTAAACAACCTGAAGCCAATAGACTGTCCCTTAAAAATGTTGCACCCCAAGCAAAACATAAAAAGAACAAAAAGAAGAAAGAGTACTTAAATGAAGATGTGAATGGTTTCATGGAATACCTAAAACAGAACTCACAGATGGTTCACAATGGGGAGATGATAGCAATGGACAGCCAGGAAGTAAGGGAAGAAATTGCAGTTGCTTTAAAGAAAGACAGTCGACGGGAAGGAAGACGWTTAAAAAGACAAGCAGCWAAGAAAAATGCAATGGTGAGATAATCACTTCTTCCATGTTATTTACTTTATATAGTTAGAAATTGTCATTCATATACTCACACATACACATATCTTAGAAGGGTCTAATTACTTTTGTCCTAAATTCATAAAGCATCTTTTTTAAGGTCTTRTACTTCAGCACATATATGCTAGGCACTCGATACATTACTTAATCATCACAGCACTACAAAGATGATGGCAATATCCCCATTTTATGGGTACAAAACACTGAATTGTAGGCAGGTTAAATAACTTGCTGTAAGCCAATTAACCAATATCATGTGAAATTCAATCCCAGACTTTAAAACTTAGGTTCTTGACCCTGTCTTCCAATAGCCCTTTTTCAAATCGATATTTTAAAAAATGAAGATTAGGTACCACAGGTTAAATGTGTGTAGTTSCCATTACTTGGAAAGGATGGATGTTCTTTTATCTTTATCCATAAAAATTCAAGACACAAGAAAAAGAGATCTARCATGAATCACACTAGTTAGTAACAGCAGAGTTAAAACTCCTTGAGATTTTCTAGTAATTGCTCCCTCTTTCAGCCATACTACATTCTGAATAATGCTGGGGGCAGCAGGTTTATTTCTGCAGTGCCTAGTCCTAGATTTTAAACTATGTCAAACACAGGAAATGAAATACTTAATATAATTTTTTCCATTCTCTAAGTGAATTTCCCATCTTCTACCAGGATGCTAAAAAAGAATCAGGACATGTTGCCAGTTATTAGACTTTGATTTTTTTCTTAGAATTGTGAAATGGAGAGCACTGTTTATACTAGTACAGACTGTATTATTATATTTAAAATTGACTATTTAGGGATCATACTTGTAAAGTATCCCTTATRGATAAATTTGGATAGAAAATAATCATTTTTATTTGGATTAGGATAAAGTTTTGTTTCACTTGTAAARTCAGTTATTTTAAAATATCTTTAAGCCAAGAAAATTAATCTAACTTGAAGATAATTTAATCAACATAGGCCGTATGGTGGATTGCAGACCATTTGAAGACATTTACTGTTATACTTCTTAAGAGAAGCTTTATGCTTGTAATTAAGGACTAATGATGTTGTTTTTCACAAAAGGAGTGCTTAATAAATAATAWATGGCTTGTTTTTACCTACTGTCAATTCACTTTCTTGTTGTTTTTAAAATTCCTTATACTGTGTGTCAGTTCTTAAAGGCTAATAAATTGATTAAAATACAAAGATTTATCAGTCAAATCTCTATAAGCTAATCTACATTAAACCAAGACTTCTCATTGTGGTGATCCAATTTTTAGCAGTAACTTTTCCTTCAGTGGTAGAATAAATATAGTTTATTCATTTATTCATTTAGATCAGTTCATTTTAAGTTTAAAAGTTATTGTAGACTTTAAAGGGACTCATTCTTCTCCAATGTTATTAAACAGGAAAAAAAAAGGACAGAGGTACAAAATGTGTTTTATTTTTCTTGTTGAATTTGCCTTTTTTAAAGAAAACCTGTGCTTATTAAAGAATAAAAAAAAGTTAAATGACTATTTGTTACCTAAAAAATACATGTACATTTTTCCAGCTTAAATAAAATAATTCAGATATCTTTCATTTCTGATTATAATTGATGTTCTGTTTCATTTTGGCAGAAAAATATGTACCACATTGCTGAGTAGTATGTAAAGATCTATATATTGTTTAGGTTTTGTGTAAGAGCCAGATAATTATAATTATCCCTTTACAATATATGTTGCATATCTTCTAAAAATGAAACTCTATTTCTGAATGTTAAGGTTTATGAAAAGTTCAAAAACAATAAAGATTCCAGGTGTAATGGCATACACCTATAATCCCAGGGATTCAGGAGGCAGTAGGATCACAAGTTCAAAGCCAGCCTTAAAGCAACTTAGTGAGAACCTGTCTCACAATAAAAAATAAAAAGGGCGGGGAAGTAGCTCAGTAGTAAAGTGCCCCTGARTTCAGTTCCTGGTACCAAAAAAAGAGGATATAATTTTTGCTACATATTATGTGAAATGAATCATGCTTTAATTGGAAACATTTGATCCAAATTCATTCAATTATGTGAACCCTAAAAGTATAAATATTAATTTGAGTGCTAATTTTATAGCCATTAAAAAGCTCCATTTTTTGGTGTAGACATTTCCTATTAATAAAATGAATAGTCCATATTTATTCAATTCATTTACACAGTTGCCTGTTTAAAGCCATATATAACATTGTTTCTGAGATTAATGGATTTGGAGATTGAAAATCTTCAAAAACATTGAAACCCTCTGATGGAAATGACATCTCTAGTCAGGAATGTGAGAAACACTTGTTATTCTACAAATAATGTATTGAGGTTTTTTTTTTTTT